AGAAGTGAACACGGAAATATAGCAAGAATATAGTATATAAATGTATATTGAAACTCAAGTTCCCTATTCAATCACAACCACAACCGTGTCCGTGTCCCAACAGCCCCTACCCCCACCCCCAAATATGCCGGGAACCCAGTCAAATGTTAGGAGGTATCAGAAACTCCGAGTCGACTGACTATGCCGAACGGGTGTTATCTGAACCCCTAAAATATGCAAGGTATACCTCTTTCGGCATCCTTGTCACATCTGCGGCATCGCCAGCCAAGGTGTCCTAGCGGCTCCTATTGCTTACATCATTTTAAGCAATTGGATATCCTGCCAGGTGTAATCACCTCATGACACAACCTGGTGCGCCTGCACAACCTGAAGGAAACACAAATCAAAGTAAGTATTCATGTTATCCTTCTCATAGCTATTTATATTTATTTCATAATTACAGAAAATAGCTGCATCTAGACTGCATTGGTGCCTTCTCAGTTTTATTAACATTGTTACCGCCTTTGCCTGCATTTTAATGATTATTTATATTTTCATTTCTCCTTGGCATTCTTCATTAGGTTTACGTTTGTTTTTTTCCATATTTCATGGTGGCTTAGAGTCTGTTTGGACAGCGAATTTTCGCAAATTTCAAAATTCAAATTTGCTTTGTCATGTTCCTGAGCTATCCGATGTGACCTGCGTGACAGACTCTATTGATACCCTATAATGCCAGTTACTCGAGGGACACGCTCCTCCTCCCGTACCACACCTCTCTGCTGTAGAACTCGTGGCAAGAGAGCCAAGGAATTCATGCCTGAGCCCAGGGAGCACACTAACTGGACTTTAAATGATGAGTCATGGCTCATCCAGTACATCTCCACACACCATGCCAAAAGTGGAGAAGGCCTCAACTTCAACAAGACATTCTGGGCTGCTGCCTCTGCTGCGATGGCCGCCGATCATTCAATGCAAGGCCGTGTCAAGACTTCAGAGGCATGCCAATCAAAGTGGTCTCGGGTAAGATCTTAGATTATGTGCGATTGTACTTACTCATGAGCCTTCAGATTCGCGCAAGTTTCAATGTTGTTGACAGGCTAGCAAATTATTCTGGGATCGACTTTAGTCTGGAGCATGGTGCCAATATCATGGAGGCATCTGAGTCTGTCTGGACAGACCTAGTGAAGGTATTTAATCATCGTTATGGCAACTTACGTGCTGATATATTTTCGAGTTTAGAGTATCCCTCAAGCAAAGCAGTACAAGAATAAAGGCTGGCCGCATTATGATGCTTTAAAGGACATTTTGCCGTCAAAAGGAAGAGGGGATATCGTGCACCATGCTACCATGTGGCCTGCAGTGCCAGTCAGCGACCAAGGCAGCAGTACCGCCCCCATGACTAGCATAGCTACCCTGCCAAACTATGTAAGTACTAGTTCTAGTGAATTTGGAATCACTGACTTGGGGTCTGGCAGAACTCGGAGAGAGCACTTGACGCTATCGAGCATGCCAACCCAAACGTCCCACTGGTGCCAGATACACCGAACTCTCCAATCATATTCGATCCTGCACGCCAACCACCCTTGTTCACTGGTACAAACATCCTGCACGCCAACCACCCTTGTTCACTGGTACAAACATCCTGGAGTCCCCCACCGCTAGCATGTCCTCTACGCCCACCACATCAAGGGCACTGGGCAAACATAGAGCTGCTGATGGTGATGATAGCCCAAGGACCATCAGCCGCCCTTCTGACTCCACGAAAACTGGTGTGAGCGGCACATCAGTGTCATTGAAATCGATAAAATCACAGTGCCGCAGTGGCATATCTTTTCCAGAGGCGTTTGACCACATGAGCACTGAAATCCATGGTCTCAGGTCAGCCTTCAACAGTGCAACAAGCACCATGCAAGAATGCACCTTGCACATGCAAGAATGCATGACACATACTGTTGCTCACTCAGTGGATCCTATCCTGGTACACAAGCAAAGGGCAATCATGCATGTGCAACAGGAGGAGGGTCTGACTGATTCAGAGATGGTAGCAGCTATGATGTACATTCAAGGTGATGTTGCAATCACTGACACATACCTTTCCATTCAGAAGGATGAGCTCCGGAAGTTGTTCTTATCACAGTACTTCAAATAGTTCGAGTTTACGTTTATGTCTCTTTCAAACTTTATTAGTGTCAATGTATCAGTGTGAAGACCGCTTGTTTGCGGAATAGACTTTGCTTGAAAACGATGTAGCTACCGGAACAAAAACTGAATAAGTACTAGTGACTACAAAACTTCTTGGATGATTGGAAAACCTCTGCGCTGTCATTCTCTGTTATAATCTTCCCACATCTGATATGCAATTGTATCACGCTGTGTCTGCGCATGAACACGTGCTTCTTCATTAGGAGGACCTTCAGCAAGCAAACCAGTGTCATGCACTCCTGGATCGAGATCGAGGTCGCAATAGTCTTGTAAGTCATTCGGATCATGAACACGGATGACATTGTGCACAAAGCACAATGCTGGAGGGATACGTGCCTGCACTTCCATCGCATAGTTGGGTGGAAGGAGGAGAATCTTGAAGTGGCTTTTGAGGACACCGAATATGCACTCAATGACGTTGTGAAGCATAGCGTGTCGTAAGTTGAAGAGCTCTTTGTGGTTACAGGGCCTTTAGAACAAAGTTAGTACACAGTAGATAACTGTTAGCATGACATACACTAAATTCGCCTGGCCCCATTCAGCCAAATGGTAGCACACTCCACGATATGGGACCAGAAGCTCGTTGCAGGATGCAAATCCAGCATCAGCAAGGTAGTATTTTCCCAGAGGGATCCTGAGATCTGTCATGCGAGCAGCATGATAAACACGTGCATCTGCTGCTGATCCCTCCCAACCACTCAGCATGTAGAAAAAAACATATCAAATGAGCAAGTGGCAAGACAATTTTGCGTCAAAGTGCCTTTACGATTGCGAGCTCCATGATGCTGCTCGGCCGATGGGTGACAAGTTATATGTGTGCCGTCAATAGCGCCAATGGCATCAGCGAAGTAGGGATAGAACTTGGTGTTTTGAGAGACTTCGGGGGGTATCGGGTTTGTGGCATCAGGTAACCAAACATATGTTGTGTAGATAGGGGGGCATGAGAACGCAGTGAGAATGTGTTTGAAGTACCTTTGTGGACTTTCAGCAACAAGCGTACATAGTGTGATAGGAATGAATACATACTTTGAGATTGTATCATTAGAGCACTGAAAGTGCTCACCAAGGTGGCGGACAGAAAGACCTGTGACACATCCATAGAGAAAGATGGCCAATTGCTCCTCAAGGGTGACATGCTTCGAATTTCAACATCCTGCAGTATGAAGTAGATTTAACAGAACATAGAAAATGTGCCGGCGTACACTGAGTTCACATCGAATGCGGTCTGGATGCCCGGCAAGAAGTTCATTGACCTACGCGATTCCTGACAGAGCTGAAGTGTGATAAGGTATCTTCTCAAGGTGGGCCTTTGAATATGTTTCAAATGCCTGATTAGCTGCGTCAATGACGATCATGGAGACTGCTCAAGCTGCAGGATAGAACAACCCCTCCAGCACATCCAACTCATCATCATCTTCCTCCATATTGATATCTATTAAATTCAATGTGTCACCTGCATCAGATCCTGCGTCATCCGTGTCTATTGGGTCTTGATCGGGGTTGTACATTCTGCTGGATGATAAACAGCAGTGTATGACGACTTTATCGATACCTGTTATCAGTGTGATGTGACGTGCTCAGGAACATGACAAAGCAAATTTGAATCTTGAAATTTGCGAAAATTCGCTGTCCGAACAGACTCTAAATTCTTAGACAGCTTTATCTGCTCTAAAATCTGCGTAATATCTATCATAATTGTACTCCGCATGAGAAAGTTTTATATACCCGGACTTACTTGGATGGAACCCACAAAATACACAACCATGACAGTCTAGTTGTCAGCTGTCACCGAGATGGCGTAGTATTGCAATACTCACCAGCCGTGGGAAAGGATTATTTAGTTGTCGAGAGTGACCAATGTCACCTAGTTGATGGTCAGTGTCAAAACACTACATTTCTGCCCTGGTGTGGTAATTGTATGTAATCTTTGACTGTTTTTGCACCCTTCACAATCTCTGAATAAATTTCAGCGTCTGGTAAAGATTTATATGGCTGGACTATGTTGGATCGACACCACCTACAGTCCAAGGGCGCCAAGCATCCACAATACTGTATTGAGTCATGTCAGTATGGTTGACTCATGCAAGCCGAGCTTGCCATTACAGTTTTGACAAGTACTTTATTGACGCTGACATTAGATATGCAGCTACAATGCTAGCCTATGTTGCTGCCAAGTGTACGAGAACTTCATCGATGCTGACATTAGATATGTGGTTACAACACTAGCCTCTGTTGTCCAAGTCTACAAGAGCTTCATCAACGTGGACATTAGGTATGTGGTTACAATACTAGGTTGTGTTATTTAAGTCTACAAGAACTTCATTGACTCCAACATTAGGTATGTGGTTACATGACTAGGCTGCATTTCCCAAGTCCGCTAAGTACGTAATGCGAGCGACGAGCGCCAATACTCTACCATCCTGCCTAAGCTCGATAAGATATGGTCACCATGTGTACTATAGTTTGCAAGTCGTTTTGTCGTTCACGGACTCTCCCTAGATGATGGAGTCAGTCAAAGTCTTGGAATGCCAGACTGTTTTAGGAACCGGCTACATTGGGTCGAAGGTCGCAGAAGGACGACAGCACAGTGCCTCCCACCACCATGTCATTTTAATAATTTAATCATGGGGCAGAATGTCAACCACAGATCTTGTCTTGCAAGACCTGCTCGCATAAACAAATACAGCAAAGGGGAACATATTGCTATATGATGGCAATTGAACATTTTTTACATCGACTTGATAATTCAGCACTACAAGTCAAGAAAAACCAAGCTGACATTAAGTAGGATGTAATTGTATCTACTACAAAGAATAAAGCTACATAGAAACCTTGTTCATATTTGAGGTTTTTTTCAATGCAAGGCATTTTTGTCGGATCTTCGATAACACACTGTTGGCGGTGATATTGCGCTTGGCAGCAGAAGAAGTGGGAAAGACTTGACTGGGTACGTGACAATAGGTGAGGCTCAGCGACATGATGAGGAATGAGTTCCATACCGATTCCACCATATCAGCAATTCATCAACTTCCTTTGACTCGTCGGGGTCTTCTAGGAGGTCCAGGAGGCTATGATAAAATGTTTCCGAGTCTGTAGTTGTATCGGTCCTTGAGAACACCAAAGATGAGGTTAGAGCGAATCGGACCTACGATCAATGTCAAAATCATCTACATACAAAAAAGTATGGTGCTCAACGAACCTGGGTTGCAACATAAGCAATGGATGCAATGGTGGCAGAGTTCATGCCATGGAGATGAGCATTGCTGGATCGTGTAGCTTTCGGTTCCCTGTCGACCAAACTCGGAGACGTAAAAATGTGCTTGTAAGCCTGGGGGAATACAATGCGGTAAATGAATTAAGTAAAAAGACACATGCCACCTATGCATACAAGTAAGTGACTCTGAAGGAGTCCGCACCATGGATCCTCAGCATCGTAAATATAATGAGCATACAAAAAACAGGCCATTGATCTCTGCAGACCAACAGTTCACCACTTCAGAGGTTTTCTTTGGTCCTGTGTACAAAGCCATGAGAAAATGACATGTTAGGACTATAGATGCCAGCAAACCAAAACTTACTGTGAGTTGTTCCAGTCTAATCCAGCGGGACAAAGCAAGGAGCCTGTAAGTTCATGGTTAAATCTGCGGTCAATCTTGGAGTTTCTGTGCAGGGGAGGTTGGATCGCTTCTCCTTTCAGAGCAATCCAATCTAGTACTGCAGACTTCAACGTTTTCGTGTTGTCACCTCTTGCGCCTGCGGCTCCCTCACCTATCTAAGAATTGTTAGCAAGAACTCTGATCATAGAAGGAACAATGTACTAGCTCTCCGACATGAAGGATTTCTTCCTCAGACCTGTTTGTCAATCGTTCCAAAAGGCCGGGATAAGAATCTAAGAGCTGCTCGAAGACATGATGTTCTCGCCGCTCACTGCTAAACATGTCAATTAGCGAGCGAGAAGAAAGATAATTTTTTTACTCAGCGGACAAGTCCTCTAGTGGTGTATTTTCCATTTGCTCTAGCCTCAAGATACCATTGGTAAGTAGGGAAGGGTAGTTGCATAGCGCAAACACCGTTCGGCCAAAATGTCATCTGTGTTACAACTAGGATAGGTCGAGCTCTCCCTAGGCGGATTGCCTAATCTGATAGCGGGCTCGCTACTGGAGAGACGGGTTCAGAGCTTAGCGAAATGCTAAGGTATCCTCCGACAAGCTTGGTAAGCGCGGCGGCTCGTCAAGCTGTAGGGCTGGCGGAACTATATGACTAAAGGTAGTGTCGGCTTGCCTTTAGGTGCGACTAAGACTGAAGGACTGGGACTGTCTTTCAGAGGAAGTTCTGGGGAAAACCTAGTAGAATCAAGTAGGGAATATACATGATTCTGTCTGCTCTATATACTGTCGTCCGTGTGCACAGACCAATACTTCGTATGGTAGGTAAGTATGAGTGTGTCTATACAAGGGCATCTTATCTGATGCCATGCGGGCGATTATCTATACATGAGGCTTACCATGCCTCTTCTATCTGTCCTCAAGGCTAAACATGCCTTGTAGTTTAACTGCGCATGCTGCGGCATGCGGCTTCTCTTCTGACCATGAAGCAGAGCTTCTCCATGATCCGGGTCGAGGACCATCTAGGTCCGTCCAGATGTTGCCTAGGCTGGTCTAGGTCATCTAACGGCATCCAGGCCGTTCTAGGCATCTCTACGAGTCTCCGTTGAGTCGGTAAGTCTTCCAATGACGGTGTATAGGCGGGATAGGGGCTAAGGTCATGATGACCTCCGTGGGAGGGGTTCTCGGTTACATGTTATTGTAACAGTCTGTGGGAGACGAGCGGATCCGATAAGGAGCTAGGTGACAAGATGAGTCAACAAAAACCTGTGACAACATTGGAGCAGCTCACACTTTTTTTCGGGGGGCCATTTGGAGGGCCGACAAGCCATGTTTGCTCGGAATTCCAGAAGTGGTGTCCTCGGTAGTCATAGAAGCTGCAGAGAAAGAAAACGTAGTGCAAACTTCGCAGATGGAATGAAACTTTTATAATGAGCCTATGTGATATAAATAGTAAGGCTGTTGGTGGAGTGGCCATGGTTGAGTGGCAGCCAAGTCTCTTGGCACATAGTGGCCAGGAATAGGTTTAAGGTTAAGCTATCGACTGGCGGCTGGAATGACCAGCCCAAGCGCTCTGTCTAATCGAATTACAATATTATATAAGGACAGAGTGTGTCAGGACAAAACATGCACTACAGAATATGTCCACCCATGTCACAGTGGTTGTGTCAGATGTTCAAATTGCAAGGACATCCTAGTAGCGTCACCTTGCGGTGCTGACTTGAACACCTACTTTTAGAATTGAGCTGTCATGCAACACAAATCAAAGCAGTGGGGAACTCATGAATCATGATATACCAAAGTTCGTCAACAGCGTCATTGGTGATTCCAAAAGCTCATCATAAATAGCGAGGTGGATGTTGGTGATAATCATCCCTTAGCAGGGGACAACAAGACTCCCCTTCTGCCAGTAGAAACCTATAAAACAGGGGAGGGGGAGTCCATAGTAAAGCTTAAAGAACGACTGGAACTTGCGGAACTAAGCTGTGCAAGACTTGAAGAACTGTACCAAATGTACAGGCTTCGTTGGTTAGAAGAAACTTATCAGACAATGGTATTGGAAAAATACGCACCACAAGGAACTGATACTTGCCCTCCGCGTCAGATCCAATGGGATGCTCCTTCTCCCATTCAAAGTATGTCTGACGATTCTCCATCTAGTAATTAGCTGACTGTCTTGCTCAGGTGAAGTTGAGTAAATAGAAGAAGGTGGTACCCAGAGAGAAGGTGGTGGTTAGTTGATGGTATAGAACTCAAACTTCTCAGACAGACCTGTACAATTCGCATTGATGTTTAGATACAAAAAGGTCGTGCATTGTCTCAGTCAATCGAATTTTGAATAGATCAATCATCAGCATTGAGAACGCGCTCGCAACAAAGAACATTTCATCCTGAGGGCGATCCTACATCAACCAAAAGCTAGCAGGTTGCAGAGGAAGACATACCATTGCAATTATTTGCCCAGTTGACGGCCTTCAATACCTGCTTTTCCACCTTGCAGGAAGTTCACAAAGTGTATGGTGTAGTTGCATGTGATGCGTGTGCTCCTCGTCTGATAGTTTCATCAATATCTTCTTCAGTGCCCAAACGCAGGCGTCATGCCCCACCAGATGCCAAGACATCATAGTAATCTAAGAAATCTTGATGACTACGACTTCTGCTGTCTCATCATTTTCGGGGATATCCATCCATGATGGGAGTGCTCGCCGAGAAAGCACCATGATCTTCGTGATGGCTACCTCTGATACTGCTTGATGAAAGACCTGGGTATCAGTGCTCATGTTCATTTTCTTTGAACAGTGAGACAGTCTAAAAGTTGCAATGAAGCACATGATATGTAAGAAGAAATATTACTTGCCTTAATCAAGAAAAGGAAATGACTGCTGGTCTTTAAGTTTCCATTTGTAAACACGGAGGTGAGGTCAAATGCTGTATTCACAGCACAGACCTGCCCTTTTCTACAGAGGCTAATGCCTTGGAGACATGGCCTACAGATGAAGGCTGAATGCTGACGGACTATCCACCAAAGTTAGCTATCATAAGGGAGAAATGTCGGTCTATATCACCTTGGTTGAATCAGGAAGCGCACAGTTCCAGTCTAATTTTCACACCATGATGATTGCGCGATTGGTATAGGATATGTAATTGTTAGATCAACATCAATTTATCAGTGGTAGGCAAGTCCAAGCTATGCATGTGTCGCGAGCTGTTGGGTTCATGGCACAAGAACTGCGCAAAGCATGTCCACATTCCATTATAAGAGTCAAAGGTAGGAACATGCCTTGAAATCAGAGTAGGCTTGAACCTTGGCATAAGAAAGATTTTTAGATTATGAAAGGATGCAAAAAAATGAAACAAAATTACCTGGTGCGTCGCCCTGTGTAATTGTGTTTTCGGATACTGGCCACTCTGAGATCATATTTTCACTTCTGCTAATGATGCGCTGGTCATCTGTGGAGAATGTAATGCAGGACACGAGTGCTTGAATGAGACAATTCGATATGAGAGACGCCAAGGGGCGGACACAATGATCTTGATATGCGGAGGCGATGAGAGTGCTGCCAGGATTTAGGGAAATGGCGTAGATATGCTTGAAATGGCCTTCCAGGGATGACCAACCTGCTTCCATGCCGATGGATCTCACTGCCATATACTTGGATTAGAATTATTTCCAGCTGAGAAAAGTTGTGTGCCATCGGGTGTCCACGCGCGTGAAATGTTGTATCCTGAGTGAGCCTTGAAACATTAATAGATAATCGAGATGGGATTGAAGGGAAGAACACATGGGTCGAGACTCACTAGTAGACTTATCATAATCAGTGCCACCACCATGATACTCAACGGAAATCTTTTATCGAAGTGAGCATTGTAGAGACTCGCACGTCTCTATGCTGAATATGCAGCCCTTTACCCACATAATCCCCTATACGTTCCAGCTCTCATCCATAGGATCAGTCTTGTGTGCACTCGCGCACATCTTACGTGCACTTGCACCTTGCACACATGTCCGTGCGCCTCACCCTTGGTCTTTGCGCTCCTGTCCACCTGTCCATCCTACGTCCTCACTGATTTACTGGTGCATTATTTTTATCAATCTCATTGAATTGACGTATCCTTGGTCCAATGTGCGCGCTTACATACAGAACACCTATCTTAGGCTTTAGAATATAATTAGTATTGATATAGTTACTCGGTTCAGTACTGCGCTCAGACGCGCCACATAGCGTTATTCTCGGGCGCAATTCCCCTTCTTAAAAAGAAGGGTGGGTTCTTAGGACAGTTTTTTTTACTTTCCCCTTATCTCAGTATACTGCAAAGTGTATAGTCCACCTGAGCACTTGAAATCTGATCATACTTCTCTATCAATTATCATTCGTGTTTCTACTGTCTTCTTGAAGACCCTTTCACTTATAACTCGAAGCGCGCCCTCGCTCACGCACGCGTGCATCTCATACCTCCCACTCACGCGTGCCTTCGCATCGCTTACGCACACCTTCGCACGCATTATCTTCTCACGCCTCTTAACACCCGTCTAGTTGACAGAGTTTCCCTCCATTTTATTAACGAGGAACTTCTCTCAGTAGTTGTCCTTTGGGTCGAGTAGTATTCTCATATCCAGGTCTTGCTGTAGAGCCCCCATTAGTTTTTAGTGATTCCACCCACAGCCAAGATTCCTCACCTTCAGCGTGGTTTATGTTCTGGAAAATGGACATAATATGAAATATGTCTGAATGAAGACGATCAATTCTGGTTGTACATACATGTGACTAAAGTAACATAAGGCCGGAAAATGATTTGGTGGTTTTACTGATGTGGCATAAACAATGAAAATTCAGTGGTACGTATACTACATGTACTGTCTGGTACCAATTCTATTGATTCTATGTCATGGTATGTGATTATATGACAGTGTTACTTTTGTTGATGATCATGGCCAGCATGCCAACCTAAGCCTGAGGGCGTGATAAATTGCTTCCACAGGACCAAACACTACAGTGCACAGGGACAGATTTGACAAGTATGGCATTCGTGAAGCATGCTACTTGCTGTTTCTGACTGAAGACCTCATACAATTGTAGTACATAGTACAACTACTAGCAATCAACTAGCAATGGTTTATATGATGATTAATAAATAAATAAGAATGAATCACTAAATAGTAATGACCATACCGACAACACTTCACTACTCAAAATTCAAAGTCATCAAAGTCATCAGTCACATCATCACAGTCCTCGTCATAGAAACACAATTCATCTGGTCGAGGTGGTGGAATAAATCCACTGGAAGAAGACAAGACACCTGTTAAGGCATTAGCAATGGAAGAAAACATGACTAAGGACCCCACTAGTGTTGTCAGAGAAGTCGAATTCACGGGCATTTTGAATGGCCACTGTATAGAGTTCGATTTCAGCTTGGGTGCGGCGCATCTTGGCCCATAAGATAAGCACCTCCAAGCCAATGTTACGCTGGTCGATGTGGTTGCTGTTAACAGTAAGAAACCGTGTCATCAGCCCTGCCTGACATGCTTGTTCTGTATCAAATGCATCGCAGAATGCTTCTTGAATGTCAATGGTGACCCACATGTTCAACAGGGGCAATGAATGTCCGATGCACTTCCGAGAGACAGTGAGAACAGCAGAGAATATTCTAAAAAATACTAACATTCAAAATGACAGATTTGTGTTTGACTTCATGCGTAGTGGCGAATTCGTGTATTGAGGAGGCAGTTCCGTCCAAAAAAGAGCAATTTTCAAGCAAAGGTTCAGCATCCCGCAGGGGGTAGGTGTTTCGTCTCTTTAACCATGCTTCGCATTTCCTTTGCGTAGCTGCTGAGCAGTTCAAGGTTCTGTGGTCTATGGAACGACTTGAGGTCACCGAGGAAGATCTGACGTCTCACTTCACTGGACATGCAGAATGATGGACTGTTTCATAGCAATAGTGTTTAGGCTACTAATTCATACACCAAGGTTGAAGAAGCTCACACATCCAGTGTTGCTGCAAGTGTTTGAGGGCCTGGCTATACAAAGACACCTCCATCTGTCCTCATTTCCTCCTCTTCTCCATGAGAAGATGCTCTACAATAACATGTCTCTTGTTCTTGAATCCGCTATCACAGCAAATAATCTGGTGTTGTCGCAAAGTTGACTCCTGCTTTGCTTCTGCAATGCGCTCCCCGACGATTTCCCAAAGATCATCAGGGTAGACTCGATCTTTGAGCAAAAATGATAGAAATTTTAATTCTGTCTGAAGCTGTGTTGAAAGACTTTAGGATGTGCAAACAGACATGAATTCATGTACAAGCCTTGTCAGTGGCTACAAGTTCTATGTAGGCATCAAGCAATTCAATGCCTAGTGAGTTCAATATTCGGATAATGTTTATACGAGAAGCTGAATCGTCGAACAGCTGCAAAGGTGAAACACAGATTGACATCACGGGTGTCTTAATGACTGTACTTTCGTGTTCACATTCTAATATTACATGTGGAGATGGTGTCTATTTGTAGTGGCGATTGAACCAGTGAGAAACTTCAATGGCCATCAAATGTGATCCACACAGGAGTTTCCTACTATAGGAGCCAATAGAAGGATGATTGAAAGTTGACTGGCCATCAAAATGTAATACGAGGCAGAAGCTTCCTAGTATAGCGACCCACGAAGGATGGTTGAAAGTTGACTGGCCATCAAAACGTGATATGAGGCAGGAGCCTCCTAGCATAGCGACCCACGAAGGATGGTTGAAAGTTGACTGGCCATCAAAACGTAATATGAGGCAGGAGCCTCCTAGCATAGCGACCCACAAAGGATAGTTTAAAGTTGACAGGCCATCAAAAAAGGATCTGGCGCATGAATTCCTAGCATAGTTACTCATAGAAGATAAATATTTACTGGAAGTCTTATAGAGCCCAAAAGCCGTGCCATCGCCATGCAGACAATATAGTGGACTTTATGGGAGCAGCTAGGTCACCACGACATTTCAGCAATTTGGAGAGAAACGGTTAGTTAGAGTTGTGTACTGTTGGGAAGATTTAGCTTGACTCATCTGAATTTCATATTAAGCCAGGCATATGTCTGTGAAGGGTCTGAAACCGCAGCTGCGGAGTTGTCAGACACGGGAGGCTCTACCCGCTGAGCTTGGTAAGAATAGTATTTCACTGTATAAGGAGACAGTAAAAAACCCGTCGCCCGTCTCTTGAACTTGAGTGAAGCTAGCACATCTATGCGAAGAAGTTGTGTTTTGAACAGTTCTGTTGCGTCAGTGAGCCTGTGCTTTCCACGGTCCTTTATCGTCCAGGAAGACATTCTGTAAGGAAAGAATATGACATCAGGCTTTCGTGTCGATGCCTGGTCCTGGTGGGCTTGGAGTGCATCATTCTGATGTTAGATCATGTTGAGATCGTGTGTAAGTAGCACGCATACCATGTCTTTAAGACAAACATAGCACTCACCCCAAATATAATTGCAAAGAGCACTGACATGCGCTTGATACCCCATACAGCACTCAGACGTGCACCTTGTATGACAGGTCTTAATTTAACGCGCAACTGCAACATGAGAAAAAAACTGGTACCTAGATCAAAATGTCCTCCAAATGCCATCACTGAGTGCAAGGATTCTGATAGGAAGGTGTAGAAATCGTATTCAAATAGAGCCAAAAGAACGGAGGTGGATGTAGGTTGATTCAAAAACTCAGTGAGCAGAACCCAAGACAAACTGGGATATCAACCAGGAGGAAGAGGAAGTCAGCTATTGTACGGAACAGTAGTAGAGAGGTTACATGAGAAGCTGTTCAACTAGAGGCCATGCAGGAGGTTCCTTTTGAGATAAATGGCAAGAGCGAAGGTGAGGATGAGCATTAAGTTTTAATCAGTTTTAAATGATTATATTATATATTCAGTGTTGCATACTTACTCATCAATTTCATTTCCAAGGGCCTGGAACATGCTATCATAGGAAGTTTCCAGCACCATGCGTCCGAAAACAACGTGCATCTTCATTCCTTCATTCCATTGCCTTCGATGACGAGCTCAAAGTCGTTCAGACTCATGCTCTCTCCAGACACCCTTTCTTTTATACCCACCACCTCTCCCTTTTAATACTGTGTTTCACAGACGAAATATTAGCTTTTATCGCGAGCATGTTTTTGTAGTGCAATTAAATTTATCATTAAAACAATAGCGAGTGCCACACTTCCTCCATTTCAAGTCTAACACGATCAAATTCACAATCAGTTGTCCTGCCCATCCAGTGGTTCCAGCTGCTAGTGCCCCTCCTTGAGCTATGCTCGGTTGAACCCAACCACCTTAAGATTGTGTTGACAAACAGTAGCTTCAACACAGATGAAGCTGGAAAAACAGCACTTCAAGCAAGGGACCTGAATTAGCATCGGTGCTATGCTGATTTCAGCTTGTATGGGTTTGTCATTTCTCGTTATTTAGCTGATCAACAGCAGCGGATTGTGAAAGTTTCAAGAAATCATTTGAACCTGGGGGATCTGAACTCTTAACTCTCCAGAAAAAAAACCCGCGCCCTCACAACAATTCATTTCCTTTGGACATCAAATACGCAGGTCAGCATGACAATGACCGTGCATAGGTGAAAACTAACGTTTTGAGCAGGTGTTGTTTTAGAACAAACTCAGCATTTTCAGGAAGATATCATGTTGATTCAGTATCCCAAGGAACACTTTTTTCTTTGTCTTCTTCCTGTATGCTGCTGTAACCCAATATTTTGATGAATGATGTTTGGGCCCAGCGTGGTATCAACACGTTCCTGGGCTCTGATGTTGAGATCTGCCCTTCGAGCTCATTATGATCCTTGCAGATAACAAAAAAAAAGTGAGTCATTTCATGCATGTTTAAAATTAATTCTGATTGTTGTTTGTTTTAGCCCATGTTACTGGGCAATAAATCTATAATTATCTTCTTTGTTGCTTTTGCACGCCTCCAGAACAAATATGGTGGTTCATCACTGGCCTTGCTCCAACTTGCATGCATTTTTTGCAGCGTTTAAATAGAACACGGAACTCTCTCGCACCAATCCTGTCGCCAACAGGTGAGTCGAGTTCGTTCAACAACTCCATCTGCTCTCTGAAGGTCCACTCTAGTTGAATAGGAGGGGCTCGCTGTTCTGCATCGCATATCAATGAAATTGTTGTTTTGCAGCAACAAATCCATACCTCTTCGCGGGTACCAGAAGGCAGCCAAAGGTGCCAGTCGGGAGTACATGTCTATTTTTACTAGGCGATGATCAGTGTGAGATTTTCTTGCACATGAAGAACACTAAATAACACTGACCTTGGTATCCACATCGATCAGAGGCACATCTCACAATCCAAAAAGTGTTGTTTGTGGTCTTATTCCACCAAGGGTACACTGCTACCTCTATGTATGCCCCTCTCCCACCGCCATTGGCACATACACAGCATGGATATCGAAAATCATATTTTTTGCAGTGCTTCTCAAGGTTGGATGGCAGAATTTTCCTTCCCTCACGATCGGCAGGCCTACATTTTTTATTTATTAAAATGACATCGCTTAGGACCAGAGTAACATCTCACCAACACCATTCAATCATCGATTCTGAAGCACTGTCATAGTGCAACAGGGCGAAGTGGCAAGTTTTCGCTTCCATGATCAATTTTGCCAACTTTTGAGCCATTTCATGATAGGCAGGTGGGGTGGTTATGATAGAGGAAGGTGAGGATGGTGGTTCCATTGTGCAGAATGGTGCAGAAGGATCTGAAGTCTCTCTCCTACCTCAATGAAACAGTGGCTTCTACTTAAATCCTAGTGCCTGATGCAGCTTTTCTTACCGTCATAATTGCGCCAGGGCCCGGCATAGCCTGACGCCAGAGGTTTTTTGCCCGTGGGAACCTGATGCTGAAATTGGTTGACCCCATTGGCCAATGCTTGGCGCCAACTTGACGGTTTGTTGTGTCACCAGTATTGTTGAGTTCTTTCATTGACCTTCTACCAGTAGTGCTAGGGACAATCATCGTGTATCATCAGTATTCCCGTCCTTTCAGCCCTCATCGCTTCTCATGGACTCACCATCAGGACCAACCCCTTTCCTATGCACTTGTACTCGGGAATTCACACAGGAGAGTGCCTACACTAGGCACCAGCGCTCCTGCTTGAAAGGCAAGAAAAGGTTGTTCTCCACTTTATCTAAAGCAAAAGAACTCATCAGCTCTGTAAAACGGTCCCGGGCAGATAGCAGTGGCAGATATACTTCAAATACACTATTAGACCACCCGCGAGTACCATCGTCATCTTATGATCAGGCTAATGGGACATTGACGGTAGAAACTTCTATTGTTCATTCAACTCTGTTAGCTACGCACCCCGGCGAGGAAGCATTGTGTGATCCTTCATCGCACAGTCCACCTGCTTCTACATCTGGTCCATCTACGCAAACAGACGAGGGATTATCGCTAGTGCAGCGAAGGGGCCGATGTACTGGCATTCCTATGCCACTGCACTATAGGCAGTATGATGACATGCTTCCGCAGCCTCCTCTGAGTGTTCCTTTCAGTCTTACTGACCAACATCCAGAGTCAAATGTACCTGAGGATTCTATCAATGTGTCTACCGGGGCTCGTATGTCACTCCCGGCTCCTCCTTTCCGCACAGCAAGGAATATTTTCGGCCTTGTACACCAATTCTTCTCATCGACTCCCCCATCTCATGACCCAGAAGAGGTTGTAACCCTGCAAGACATTAGTTTTATCCCAGCTAGCACTCCAGCATAACCACTTATCCCTCCCAAGCCTCCCAAACCTCATGATATCTCATTTTATCCATACCCCAACCAATCCTCATTTGAGCTCGGCCATTGGTACTGGAATGGCAGTGTACAAAAATCACATCAGAGCTTTAAGGAGCTGATTGACATAGTTGGATGTCTGTATTTTGATCCTGACAATGTGCGAAATACACACTGGGATAAGATCAACTCGCAATTAGGTGCGAGTGTCAATGACGAAGGAGAGGAATGGGAGGATGAAGACGTAGGTTGGTGTAAAACGCAAGTGACAATTGAAGTTCCATTTTCTCGAACTACATCTCAGCCAGGCACTCGACCTTATGTCGCCGCAGATCTTTATCATCGACATCTGGTTTTTGTTATTCGCAAAAAGCTCTTGAATGCTCAGGACAATGAACTCTTCCATTACGAGCCTTACCAGCTGCGATGGAACCCGCCCCATCTTCAACACAAAGTCAACATTCAAGGAGAACTATACACGTCACTGGCCTTCATGGACGTGCACCACAAAATTCAGCAGTCTCCTGGAGAGCCAGAATGCAATTTACCTCGCATCGTTGTCACACTTATGTTCTGGTCAGACGCTACACACCTTACGACATTCGGTAACACAAAGCTATGGCCGGTATACATGTATTTTGGGAATGAATCAAAGTACCGCTGGTGTCAACCATCTTGCAATCTGGCGAATCATGTCACATACTTTCAAAAGGTATGATGGTCATTCAATCATCCTCCTCTACATTACAGTTGATGTCTGGCAGCTTCCAGACTCATTCAAAAATTTTACGAGTACTTACACCCAAGGCAAGGGAGTTGGTTGTGAATGTGCAACTCATTGTCACTGTGAATTATTCCAAACTCAGTGGAGGGTTTTACTTGATCCCGAGTTTTTAGAGGCATATGAACATGGGATTGTGATCAACTGTTGTGATGGCATCAAATGGCGATTCTATCTGCGAATATTTACCTATTCTGCTGACTATCCTGAGAAGTAAGTTGTTAATTGTTATCTGGAAGATATCGCAACTCACAAAAGCCAGAGTTCTTGTCGCGACCATTTGGCAGCTGGGAGGTTGTCCTTGCCCGTGATGTCTAGTACCAATGGGGTGGCTTCACAATCTAGGAATGAGTTGTGACAGGCAACAGTGTACGACTCTTGCACGCTCCGAGGCCTCAAGGAGTCAACTTGTTTTGACAGCACGCGACTTGATCTACCAGAAGAATTATGGTGTTGACAGTACTTCAGTCAAGTCGCATCTCAAACCTAATTCCTGGGTACCGACCTCTGTGAGTATGATCATTAACTTATTTTCTCGCTTTACAAACTCTTCATTAGAACGCGTTTTCCGACTGCCTCGGTCCCTTAGGATTCAACATGTTCATTGCACGTGTTGTCGACCTTCTGCATGAGGTTGAGCTTGGGGTCTGGCGTATGCTTCTAGTTCACTTATTGAGAATTCTTTGTGCCCTGAACAAGGACCTGATTCATGAGCTTGACAGGAGGTCTGCCAAGCATTTATGATGACAACGACTTGTCGGGCTAACAACCAGTTAACTTTGACAGGTACAGGCAGGTCCCCCCATTCGGACAAGCGACCATTAGGCGTTTTTCCGCCAACACTTCTGAAATGTCGAACATGGCTGCATGCAATTTTGAAGATCTCCTACAAGTGTGATTTCAGAATAATTTATGTAGGGCTTCGTGGACTAACTCTGTTTAAGTGTTCAATTCCAGTCTTCGATGGCCTTCTCCCCGACGAGCACAACAAGATTGTTTTGGACCTCTTGTTCATAATGGCACACTGGCACAGACTTGCAAAACTCCGTATGCATTCTGACCTAACATTAGAGATACTCGACTGACAAACTACTGATCTCGGCGAACAATTTCGCCAGTTCAAGACTAAAGTGTGCCCTGCTTACCACACCCAAGAGCTCAATCGCGAAGTTGATGCACGATCTTGCTGTCAGGCAAAAGAAGCAGCTAAACAGGGAGAGAAAGGCAAGATGAATAATGTTGTTTGAGGGACTACGGCTCGAAAGCCTAGGACAGGTGCTAATGGTCAAGGCAAGCAAACTGCAAGATCGGAACGGTCGCAGGACGTACCTCCTGTAAAGCAGCCACATAGAAAGAAGTCATTCAACCTTCAAACTTACAAATTTCATGCACTTGGGGATTACGTGGCCTCCATACATCGCTTTGGAACAACAGATTCCTATAGCACTGAACCAGTGAGTCATAGTCAGCTGCCATCTCTACCTCAATCCAATTTTCATTAGGGAGAATTGGAGCATTGCACACCAAAAGGCAGATACCGTCGTACTGATCGAAGGGCTGTTGTGCCCCAGCTGACTCAGATCGAGTGTCACCAAACACATTTACGGCGCATCAAGCAATGGAACCAATTACAAACCTCTTGTGTAGAATCGGACAAATCAACAAGCGATCCCCATGTACACCATCACATCGGCAAAAGTGAGAAAGTTTACAATGAATTCAGTCACTACCTCCGCAGCCACGCAAAAGATCCTGTTATGCAGGTAATATGCATTTTACCTCATCAATGCCATTCTGAGATTTGACTCAGGACTTCTTGCCTAGCCTGAAAGACCATATTTTGGATCGTCTCGAACCAAGGGAGCAATCAGCTAATCTCACCCAAAGACGTGATTCAATTCTCTTCAAGCGGAATCGAATCTACCACCACAACCTTGTAAGGTTTAACTACATGATGTATGATGTTCGCAGGGCTCAAGACATCGTAAATCTGAGGACCCCTCACTGTAACATCATGCTCCTTAAGCATCATGATAATTGCAACAATGATGGCCACGATGGCGACTATCGTTATGCTAAAGTCCTTGGAATACACCATGTCAATATTATTCGTGTAGGAAATGTGTACGAATCCCGCCGGTTCGAGTTTCTCTTTGTTCACTGGTATGAATCAGTACAATGTCATGCTTGGAGCACACACACTTTAGGCCGTGTTCGCTTCATCCCTCTGGAGAATCCTAATGCATTCGGATTTGTAGACCCAAGAATAGTGCTCAGGGCATGTCACATCATACCCGCTTTCTCCCAGGGTCGGCGCAACCCCAGCAAATGCGGAATTTCACTTATCGCGGGGGACCATCAAGACTGGCGCGAGTACTACGTTAACAGGTGAGTTTTCATGCTTATTTAAATATCTACTGATACAAAATGTAATAAGCTTTGTGGATCATCATGCCCTCATGCGCTTCCATTATGGCCTTGGAGTAGGGCACGTGTACTCTCATGAGGTGAGGATGGAATGTTCTTCCTTGACCCAACAGGCAATTCGCACTATCCCACATATGACACAACAACCGAATGACGAGAGTTTGGAAAGGGAAGAAACCACCAACTGGAAATCTCCTGCCGACAATGAGGATGAAGAGGATGAAGAGAACAACCATGTTGGCATCGAGGAGCTGAATTTCTTCGACCAGGAATGCAATGGAAGCACAGAGTCTCTCATTGAGGCGCTAGATGACATGTTTACAAGACATGTGTTCGATTATGAAAACTAGTGTCGTATCCAGTCCCCCAGCTGTTGGCGCTGGCGTATTTTCATTGATGATTTCTACTAATCGCTCGTGTACAAGGACCTACAATTGTGGTTGTTTCTGCCAGATAATTCAGTCATTTCCGTCTGGCCATCACCACCTGGCGCATCTCTTGTTCTGGCTGTGGCCACTGGTCATCATAATCGCTAATCTCTGGGCATCCCTAATTCATCGCTATCCTGGTTGCCAATCTCTGGCCATCGCAAGTTAGCGCTTCTCTATTTAATATTGACTTGTCTCGCCAGTGTCTCCACCTCTAACTTTCCCCCCCTCATTACTCTTTCAAAAATAAGATGCAATGTGAGTTCAAACAGGATCAAAACGATCTTAGACTGAGACCGAAAATAGCCTATTCCTCTCCAACTTACCTATACTTTCTGGACAAGAATAAAGTCCTGAGGATTCTCCAGCTACCAGTATGTATAATACTCTGCACCGTATATATCAATTGCTGATGCTTTTCATTCAGAGTGATCCAGTTCGATACCAGCTATCAAATACTTCTTTCTCTAACTTATGATTGCAGCACCCATTTGTCGGATTCACTGAGCACTTTCGTCTGATAGGATATCTTGTGAACGCCAACCAGGAGGTCTCGCCCCTCTACTTGAGTTTCATTCAAAATTATCTATTTCATCTTATCGTATCGGTTTGTAGCATGCAGAGCATGCATCGATGAACTCAGAACACAGCATTCTGGATATTGTAGGCATCCTGGCTGTTCCAAGCCACAATAAAATAATGTTTTCTGAAGTATATGAAAAGAAGAAGGTGAGATCTTGATTGTGATGGAATTTTGTCATTAAAAGGATGACCATAGACCGGTGACGGTGATTTTCTGCAGTTGATTGACAGCAAGATTTGTCGCCCAAATGTGTTAGGCTTGACTAGCGTTGTGTGGCCCGTGAGCATTACTTCCTGTACACAGTGTGGCTGAGGGATGATTCTTCCCATCCATAGCTTAGCATGTTGAACGATGACGATTCCATCCACTTCCATGTGGCACCATTCCCAGATGGATTCTCACCCTGTGGTTCTCTCAGCACTATTGAAGCTGCACCTCTGCATGACTTCATGCTTCGTGCCCCTCGCGCTGCCATCGAGGTTACACCTCTTGTATATCAGTTCCTGCCTCCTGCCACTCTCACTCGCATCGAGGCTGAGCCTTTTGAACATTCAATCTCTCTCCCTCCTGCTGATGGTGAGGGTGGATCTACTTTTTTTCCACCTGGCCCTTCATCAAACGGGCAAAGTTGGTCCACCAATTTTGATTTTGGTTTCAATTTCCCAACTGTCACTGGGTCTGAAGGGTACCTGGACAATTCAATGTTCGATGATTACCAAATGGCTTCTGATGCGTTGGTTGGATACCGCGAACCCATCCCCATCACTCCAATGATTGTGCTCCATAAACAGCTCATCTGGAAAGGTGTAGATGCACCGCTCCATCCCGACTACCGATCAGCCATCACCGAGGCACTGAAACACACTCCCTGGAACTGCCCAATATTTTTGACGAAGTGTCTCTATCTGGGAAACCTTTGGGTCGGATTACAGAACCCTTGGAACTTTCCTGAATAACAATACAGACGGCTCATCACCAGCTGCTTTTTAACAGTGATAGCTCTCAGTGGAACAACAATGGATGAATTACATGACCAACTATGTGAGTACCTTCATTTGATTCTATGAGCCACTATCTAACAGCATGGCTAGTGACAGTGGTAACAGGCAAGATGGAATTTGAATCCATTGGATGGGATATGCTTCGCCTCACTGTATGCTTTCTCGTGCTTTACCTTTACCTTTACTCACCTCTAAGTGTTATGACCAGTTCTTGAATCACATTGTGAACAGAACTTCAGATATGCGCAAAGTCGTCTGGGGATGCATTCATACACCAACGGGATTTTCAGAAAATCAGAACCAGGCCAAGCAGGCAAGAGTTGATTACTTTTTTGTGCTTCTCGACTTGGACAATCGGGAACTTGTGAGAAGCTAGATTGATATGATCTGATTTAATGACTTACCATGACTTAGGTACAACAAGGCATAATGGAAGCAACACAACTTCATATGTTTCAGGAACTTGTATGGATAGCGCTATTGCAACCCACAATCGGCTTGGCCCAGAACAGAAATGAGAATGGGAGAATTGCAGATCTATTCCCTGAAGAAGTGTGAAATGACAATGTTATTGCAAAAGGCGTAGTGGGGACTCTAATGACCATTGTACGTGTTTTTCTTTGTTGCTTATACCAATCATGATTGCATTGCCGAATTAGATATACCACACATTTCATATCTGGCGCTCACCGAAGACCCAGGGTCACAGACTGGATCTCATGTATGACATCTTCATGGGTAGTCTAATCAGGATGTATGCTGACCTGGACAGCTTTCCCCAGTTCAAGGAGGCAGTGAGAAAAATACCTTTCTTGCCGTCAGTGTCCCTTTGCATGATTCTTGATCTCGGTGCTCATACATATCCACATTCAGTGGTGAGAATGTCTTTCCTATTGAAACCAAGACCCTAAGCCCGAGAACTTGCATAAATGAGACGGCACCGCAATATGAAGATCTTGAGCCTATCACTGAAATGATCCACGATCTCACTAGTCTTCCAAACGCAGAATTCACATCCATATTTTCGCAAAGAGCCAATCTGCAGGCACATGATTCATGCTTCGGCAACCTACTTTGATTGAGAATCTGTTCCATGCTATATTTTGTATTGTCATTTGAAATGTTGATGTACTACCAGCGATGAACTCAGGAATGACACGATCATTAAGGATTAGGTGTGTGCTAATATGATGTACTGTGGAGTGATAAGGTACTGCTGCAGACCTTTCAGCGCACAATTTGGTATGGGACTCAAGACTCAAGAATGTACCCAGCTTCAGGGCCAGACACAGCCTAGGGCTGACCTTTCTTAATGTCGACAATCTACATTCTCCCAAGTTGTTGCCTCAATCTGTGCCTACAATTGCACTCCATGCATAAAGCCCCCTTCGGCAGGCCGTATACCTAACCGACCACTTACTTGCCACTCCTGATGCTCACTCAGCCACAATATCCTTTGAAAGGTTACTGAAATGTCTCACTTTGCAGCGGATGCTTGAGGCAGATGCGTTAGAGCAAGAATCTAACATGCATATGTGACTTGAAAAATACTTTCTTGTTTTACGGTCGGGAGGTTTTATTCAAGTAAGTTGGGGACTCACTACATCTTCTGTGCAATGACTGGTTGTTGCAGCATTTGTATGACAGTATCTCATGGATTCAAATAGTTTATCCCTGTCGCTAGCACGTGAGTCTTGAAACGATTGCTATTATCAATCAATGATTTGTCATGCTCACCGTGTTATAGTTGGAATAGGCACGGTGACTGGCTGTGCTGCTCACCCCCTCATGCACAGGGATGACTATGCAGAAGTCGAACAACGAGCTTATGAGCTGAGAGCAGACCAGACCAGACCAGACCAGACTGGTACGAACATGTGTAGGCAGGAGTTGGGAAGTGCTCTGCATAAAGGCCAGAAAACCTTGCTCACTGAAAGCATGTAGGTGGGATTTCAATTTAGAGTTCAACGACTCACTTGATGCGGGCAGACACAAGTGTCTATCATTGTTTGGTTGGCGTCTGATCGTCAACATCTCAATTTGGAATTATCGGTCATTCAGCGCTACTAAACTACTTTGGGCAATCTTAAAGGTAAGCCCCTTTATGTCAATCTATTGGCAATAACACCATAGTCATTAGATGTCTCGTGCAATACACACAGCATGCATGGGACCGCTACCTGTAAGAGATCGAAAAGTCTTAGTGAGCATCATTTGTGATCAGTGGCAAGTATGGAGCTAAGTTTTGTTAGATGTAAGTTGACATATGGATGGATTCTGTTGGTCCGTTTTTACTCTCCTTAGCAACAACTTATCGCCCAAATTACCCAATGGCCCCATCAATTTTAACCTCAGACTGTCGTTGTGCCGCGCTCGCGCCATCTGGCAGCCATCAAGGACAGCTTCGTCCGCTCCATAAATAAAGTAAAATCACTGCTTTGGGTCAGTATCGTCATTTTTATCAGAACAATTACTCAAAAACACCCTTTCAGCTGTAGCTGAGAGGATGAACGCACAAGCCTTGGCACTGTACAATACCATTCCCGTCCCCATCTGTAGCATATTATTCCACTTGCCACTGCTTCTTTCTACTACTAGCAAACCCTGACTACCATAGTGTCCGTTATAGCGGCCAGCTTACAATAGTACCACACCATCACATATTACTAGTAGTAGTACATCACCAGTATTCACGTGATAATCGGGTGGTCTTTTGTCAAAAAACTACATACATACAATATAAACATACTGCAGTTCGTCCTGCGGTGACATACTGCCATATCTTCATTCCATCATTCATCATCCAGCCAGGGACATATCGAGTCCTGCATGATTGCTAATAATATCATCGTATCCGAGTCAGGGTCTAATGGTTCCTAGCCGGCCTATTATCATATCAGCATTGTGTCTTATCGTGTGAACAGCTACCACGTTGGTAAGTCGAACCATCATGATGGCCACGATGGTACATTTTATTTCGAGCCCCACTACAGCTGCGTACTCAAGCTGCCATGCAAGATCCCAACTGAGGGAACTGATCCGCAGACCAAGCTGCTCAGTCGCAGCATACCTATCTGGCCGACGCAGCTTCGGCAGTACACCAAAATAACATTGCTGTGAGTGTGCGTTAATAGTACTAAGGCAGACATTGAGTACTGACAATGCTCAACAGTGAATCTTTGAGTCGCGATTACAATGTGCAGAAGATACAGATCGACTTCGCTTGGTTCATTGCCTTGATTTTTGATAAAGTCGATTTAACCGCCGGCATCGTGACAGACGTGAAGTACGTGGGCATTGGGAATAATTTATTCATCCGTCAGGAGCGGTATACCACTACAATGCGAGAAGTGTGAGTATCCTCTATTATTTCAAGTTGCTTGCTCACTCAATAGCGACAAAGAAAACTTACACCGGAATGAACATGAGGGATTGTTCGGATGAACAGCTCCATAGGCTCGAATCTTGGATTGAGGTGTCAAGAACTAAACTGAACAGAAAACAGTGGTTGTTAGTCATCGAGCCGACCCTAGCGAGAGGAAAAGAAATCTATCCATATTGCTATGTGGTGCCCGAGAATCGCATTATCACCTGGATCGAACCTGTGGATGGCTATCTCCTCTTCCAAGAATGTATGATGGTATGGAACTGGAACCACAAAAGTAGGTTGCATTTTATGTGTATTACTGTTAAATCTCATTATATAGGACTCGAACTTGAGGCCCAATACTGGTGAGTGATATCATGACAGAAACAAACTAGAAGATTTCTCACTGTTGGACTAGGAAACATGTCGAATATTTCCTGCATGGGATCGAAATATGTCTTTCAGAAGTAAGACATTTGTGACTTCAATTGAATTGGTATCGCATAGGTGAGTTCTTTTGCATCCAGGTGCCTGATCAAAATGAGCTGAAAGACAACAGAGGCCTTAGCCTTAGAACAATCTACTGCGGGCTCGATATTCTGGACTTTGGAGCAAATGAAAGAAATGGCTGGGGAGCTAGCCACTGCAGGTATGCACCCTGACTTCAATTTACGTCCTCGAGCTGATGGCTGAAGGACAGAAGAACTTTCATGACCTGATGGGGTCATGGAGGAGCCAGGTGTCGCAATATGTGGTATGTGAGTCTTGTAAAAACAGGTGATTTTGAACTCATCTCACTATGTACCAGCAGGTAAATTGTTGCACATACTTCGTACATGTCCCTTTCTCATATCAGACGTCGATTGAGAAACAAAATAGGACACCACGAATACTTGAACCACCATGGCCAACCCGAAGCTCGCTTGATGCGAACACATTCACTGGGTGAGAGGCGCAGAGATCTGGACAAATCTCCCTTCATGGCCAGCGTCACAGTTGCTATGCTCTGGATCCCAATAATGGTGCTTGAACGACTCCGAAAAATTTATGTTGATGATCTTGTCAATGGGATGGACATGAGGGGCTTCATAGACAATTTCAGTGCACAAGCTAAGTCTCAAACTACGGTTGTAAGTGCTATGTCATAGACCCAGATGAGAACACTTACCACTTAGGCTGCTAGGCAAGTGTCATCATGGCAGTCAATGCCAGCATCCTTGCCATCCCAGGTTTAGGTTCAACGCTTGCTACAAAGACGCTATGTTCCATCTCTTTTGTTCTCAGCGTCCACTGCATTATTGCATGCATGGTGGCACAACAATTTGGCCACTGAATGCGATCCCTTGACTTTCCGGTTCGATCATCTTCTTATTTCTGTAGTCTGGATTTAACATTAGTAATTGAATAGGTGTATTACTTGCAAGGGAAGATGTCTAATTTTGTGATCCTTGCAAGCATACCAAGTCTCTTATATCTGACGAGGTAACCAAACATTCAATTGCAGTTACTTGTGTTACTCACAGCAGCAGTGTGGCTTTTTCCATCCTTGGATTTCTCACAGGAGTTTTCGCACTTGAGTATGAATTACCCTTGTCCACGAAGATAGGATGTGGGCTTGCCCTTATTATTGGGATAGGCCTCACAATTCCATTAGCGATCACTGTGTTTGGTCCTGGGCTGATTCATTAATGAGAACCTGAGTCTTTCCTGATAATTGGATATGGATGGACAATGCAGATTCTTGTTTTTTAAAGATAACTATGTATCCGAGAACACTTGAATCTAATTGGCTCTCTGATCAGCAATGTGTTTGTAAGTATTACCCCAAATACTAATACTGTCACAGTACACATAGTAGTAATCGGTCACGGTGGCTCTTGAGCATCTTCGTGCATTCGTAGTCCCAAGTCCATATTGTTTATGTAATACCTGCTGAATGCGATACGTATCAATGCTTCACTTGCTCCTACAAATGTCGTCGTAGCCATGCAGAATGCGTTGAAGTCCAAGAATCATGGTGCAGCTACAGAGGCTTTCAAGTTCCAATGTGTCACTAGGGAGAAGACTGCAGTCTCGTGTCGAATAGATTAGCACAAGGACCACACAGAAGGGTTTCACGCACAGTTCGAGGCATTGGAGGCTGCTCTGTATTTCAGTCAAACAGGTACAATTGTTTTTGACCTACATCACAGTGTAACTTACTATGTGAAAATACTCTCATGGGGCAGGCTGGCCTTGTCAAAATAGCCAAATCAAGTGCCAACTCAATTTCCTGTACTGCCACACACCTCTTAACGATACCCACCATACTCGTGCTGTTTTGTTTCTACGCTCGGCTTCACATGAACCCGCTGCATAACCTTTGATTTTGATTTAAGGTGCCTTGACTGCCTCAATCAACAGCTTTTCCTTTTCCTCACGGAGTCATTCAAGTTCGTAGATGTATAGCTGTTCATGACAACAATATCCCTGTCTGCTCCAGCCTATCTAACCACGTATACCTAAAGCCATACTGACATTGATGACCCTTTCTAGTGAGTACTCTGTCAAGTTTAAAAAGGCTTCAAGAAACCAGTGAGTCTTTTCATACTTGTCATGTCACTTATACTGACATGTTTGTGCAATTTCCTCATATGCTCTTGTGACTGCCTGAATCATCACTTCCTAGAACAAGTTACCCTCACTCTTCTGGAATCGTGGCCTGCATCTCCCACATTCCACGTCAATAGAATATTCCTCTGAGTGTCGAACCCGACCTTTCAAACCTCTCACCCCCTCCAAATCCATCAAACTCAGAACATCCCCCCTCAGTCCGTGTCAAGACACGAATGACACGTCTCTTATTGGGCACCTCGACATCCCCTTCAACTCCAGAACCTTTGACATATGTACTGTGAAGCTGAAGGGTGTTACTTCTGTGTCACCATTCTCTCACTTCAATCAGTTTAGCTGGGGGACTTTTACTGGCTTGAGGATGCAGAATGCAGCAGCAAATGAAGAAGACTAGAATGCAGCCAGTGTTCCAAGCATTATGTTGAATTTCTATGTATCTACCTAGCTGATCGTATCGATTACAACTGTACATATGTAACGCTCGTCAAAAGCCAACATCTACCCATTGATGTTGGCAACCGATATTCCTTCTCATCACATTCTTTAGTTACTCATTTACCTTTGTTCCATCATTTTCCACAGCATTCTTACCCTACAGTATATAAACTGAAGTATATCTACTTGTAGGGCAGTTGATCTTTCACCCCCAAATACATCTTAGTTCGGACAGTTATCTCGTTTGAGCCTCTAAGTCTATTCGACCCTATTGACTCTACCGTGTGAACGTTCCAAGAACGCCACATATTTATAACTGCCAATAAATCTAAAATCTTTATTCACCCTTCCCACTACAGTCATCGTCAAGGAGGCTTGATCACCCTCCGAAACTTTGACTCTTGTTAACCATGCAAAACCAATATATTCAAAATCAATATCGTAAAAAGATGCCTACTGCTACTAGTGCAATAGATGAAGCCTCTCCTCTCTCTCTCCGACTAGGTTGCTGAGCATGAGTGATGACACATGCACAGCTGGACTCGAGTCCAAGCATGCAGAGCCTCGGGACAGCACAGCTGTCCCTAGAGAAGAAGGGACAGGCATGGAGCCCCCCTTTATATCCGGTCCTAGTAACCTGGAGAGAGTGGAAAATGAATCCACTCAGGCAACGAGTGCTGTCACCAGCCCCGCCCATGTGAGAGCCACACTACCGGATGACGTAGAAGGTGGCATAGTCCGCTCTACCTGGAGTGATGAGAGAATAGGTACCCTAGTAAATGAAATACATACCGGTGCCCCGTAATCAGTCAATTACAAATGTTCATGTCGCCTGACAGTAATAATATTCCCCGCCTGCAAGCAGTTCTTGACTGGTCAGAAGTGACTGATGACGATGACCCACCACCCTCAACAGAACTCCCTGGTAACATCAGTGAGCATAGGGTCACCACTAAGACAGAGGACGACCCCCCAACATTAATGGAGCCCCCTGCAAACATCAGTGAACAGAAGGTCACCGCTAAAACAGAGAACGACCCACCAACCTTGACAGAACTACCTGCCATACAGACCCTCAAGAACACACATCCTACAGGGAAAGTTAGTTCGCTGGCTGGTCCAAAAGGTCACCCTCCTAAATCAACCAAGAATGATGCAAAGTACCTGAGAGCATCTTTTCTGCTGCCCAACAGAAGCTCTGTTAAAAGGGTGATGGCCGGCAGTGATCCGAGTGAGTCAGACTCATCTGACCCCTCCTCTGACTCTGAGAATGATACATTGTCTTCTGAAACATCAGAGGACGATTCTGACCTAAGAAAGGGAAAGAGTCGTAAGTCATCCAAGCGGGAATCACGGAACCCGGACAAGAGGAAATCAAGGATATCACGGACTCACATCGAGGAAAACGAATCCAGCGATTACTCCTCGGACGATCCTAACGCGAAGATTCTTGCTATAGAACCTGAGTCTGATCACTCCAGTGATTCAGAAGGCATGAAGCATTGTAAGCACGCTGCAAGGAGGAAACACCGAGCTCGACTAAACCTGCTCAAATATCAGCAGGGTTTCCTCAAACATGAGCCTCCCTTCACCTACAATGGAGAAGCCAACTCCTCAACGTTCAAAAAATGGGTGAAAGAGGTGCAAGACTGGAGGGACAGAGCTAAATTATCCACCAAGCAAAGCATCAAGATGCTAGGAAAATACCTTGGTGGGAATGCCTATAGATTCTATGAGCATGATATCCTAGACTTGAAGAAACGGTACTCACTTACCGAGTTTTTCGAACACCTGTTTGACTACATCTTCCCCACTGACTTCCGCATGATGCAAAGGCAGAAGTTCCTCGACTGCAAGCAGGAAGGTCGCCACTCCGTGCGTGACTATATACGCCGGCTCCAAGAGTTAGCAGATACTACTGGAGACGTAGGAGAGCGCAAGCTGGTCTGACAATTCTGGATGAATTGTAAGCCTTTCATAAAGGTGTCCCTAGTAGACAAAGGATATGACACGAATACTGTCAGCATGGACACCATTGAACAAAAAGCACTATGTACCAAGCGGGCGTTCCTTGAGAACCTGAGAGACCCAAATGTTCTGATCACCTTGAACCCAATGTTGGCTGCTGGTGCTGCAGACCAGGAGTTCCGAACTCAATGTCGTGATCGCCACGGTAGCCGAAGAGACCATCGTCCCCGGACACAATCTCTTACTGCAAACACTGTCAATCACAATAGTTCTTCGTCAGCTAGAACTCACCATGATAATAAGAATTCCAGATGTACAGGAAACAGGCCAAATGGCCATGAACATCCTCCACATAACACTAAGAGTACTGAGACCATCCGTAAGCTAAAAGAACTCAATCAGTGTTTTGAATGTGAACAGATGGGTCACCTGGCCAAAGACTGCCCCAAATGGCACCGGCTGCCTCCTTATCAACAACCGAAAACCACATCCCTTCGCTCGAACACTGTAGGGGTGATGACTGCTGATATCCGGAATGCTGCCATAGCTGAAGGGATGGCCCAAGGTCTCTATGGCTTTGCTGTGGACATGATCGATGACCTAAGCCAACTCGAAAAGTTAGAACATGCTAAACATTTAGTCGTGACTCACCATGTGTTAGCCCAACTCAGACTGGCCGTCCCTCTCCTCTCAGATGAGTTTGTTGACCCAATTTATAGCACCTTTAGAAAGGACTGCTTTAGCCTGATAACTTGGGGTGACAAGGACACCTACCTGTTAAGCGATAAGCACAATCGCGATGAGTATATTGTCTATTATTCACAGTTGAGCGACCCATCTTTCGATATAGTGGAATGGCTCACCATATTGAAACTCTATAACCAAGAGCATCTTGTTCGAACCAGGTCCGCTCTCGAACGTCTCGGGGTGGACGACAATGTCATCAAACCCGAGTATGAAGCCTCCAATTGGGACAACTTGGACAGTTCCTCCTGGGAAATGTCTGAGTGGGGAAACAGTGACTTCAGAGAGGACGATGAGGACCACTCACTGGACAATTTACCGGGGTTGGAAAGCTGCAAATCAAGTGACGACAAAGATACTGAAGAGACAGGTGAGTTATTCTGTGGGATGGCTACACGATCGAAACACGACTTACCCGATCTTCGTACCCTCCAACGACAGGCAGCTAGACCAAAAACAACGTCAAGACTCTTGCCAAAGTCTCTAGTGGTGGTAGTCCTACTGGAAGGAAAGCCGTGCCGAGCGTTACTCGATTCTGGGTCCTTGACCGACTTCGTATCAAGTACTATCATA